TTAGTTTACGTTTAGTTCTCTAGTTTTTTTTTTTTTTTTTTTTTTTTTTTTTTTTTTTTTTTTTTTTTTTTTGTATGATACTGCTAGTGAATGCACCTCATTGAAACAAAAATAAAAACTCTTTTCAGCTGTTGAATTTGGGTTCTTAATTTTTAAATGATAAACCTAAATGCTAGCAGCATCATCCGTTGTCACGCTGGCTAGTTTAGCACAGCACAGCTCCTGACCATTCACAGTTTGGCAAACCTTTTCATCGATATCCTCTCCTGTAGTTGCTTCTTTGATGCTTTGCAGCGCAGCAATCTCTTCCGTGACTTCGAAATACTCATTCGTCCCACGAATAAAAATTAGAAGTTGTGCAGGATCACGAATATAATTACTTTTGTTGAGTGACAGGGAAAAATATGAAAGAGTTTTGTGAAGTTTTGCAAATCTTTAGCTTAACTCGCGATCTATGTCTGGAAACACCACCTCTTGTTTTGGCAACGTGTGAAATACTTTCGGTATTCCTTTCACGTTTAACGATCCACGGTCACGTGCCCTCAGATTTCAAGATGAGAGAATGTGGTTAATTTTAGTTGGAAGAAAGAGAAAGCACTTATTCTGTCCTCGTTGCTCTTGAACGTACTGCAGCCTACACTAAAAGAGTACACGCCTGTGTCTCGTGGCAAATAGTGGTCACTTTGAGCATTAACTCGAAGGTCAAATTTTTTGTCATTTTAAGGAAATTATATTTTATTATTTTTTATCAATTATTTCCAATAATTAATTTACAATTTATTTGTTTTATTGGTATTTGTAGTAATTAAGTATTTAGTATATATTGTTCGTATAATTAAGTATTTTATTAAGGTTTTATTTGCTTAATAATCAGAATCCATAATAACCATTTTGCATTATTATTGTTTTATAAATAGTGAAGAGCTTGGCAGTAATGTTTCACGAGATACCTTTTTCATTTCTTTCCTCGCCGTCTTTCATTTAATAATAATTATTGTTAGGTTGCTGTTAATAACTCGATAAAACAGCCATAACTTGCCCCAACATCTTCAATATTACAGTTTTGTTTCCTAAGCATACTGAACTGATTCGCCTAAAGAGACATTTTGTTTCCTACTCATGTCCCTGCCCACTCCATCCCCAAAACCCTGTGTAGCGCGAAGATTCTGGCGTGTGAGCCGCGTACCTGCCCACCTAAGCCCGTAAATGGGAAAAACAGGAGGAAAGTTGCTGCAGCTTATGACCCGACGGTCGTCTTCTCTTCTGCCTCGTCATGCCAGGCACGGCTGTCTTGGAAAGTGCCAAAGACACGCCATATTACCGAAACAAAAACAAGTGTTCTCAGACAAGGGTTGTGAGTTACGCTAAAGATCCCGTATGTATGCATGTATGTATATACAGGTGTCCCATTTAACTTGACAACTTGAAATAACAAAAAATACGCGATGTACGAAAAATTAAGCTGAGACCACATCTTAACAGTTTAGAAGGGGAATCATTCTTTGCTAAAATCTGCACCCACCCCCTGCCCTCAGCGGGTGGGGCGGTGGGCAACATTGAAATCTTAAATAGGAACCCCCATTTTTTATTTCAGATTCGGATTCTACGGACAAAAATACATAAGTTTTGTCTGAAACATTTTTTCTGATTTGTCACAAGTGGCAATCGCAAAACTTTAATTCCGAAGATTTCCGACTGTAATTTGAGTGGTTTTGAGCGTGGTCGATTATTTCTGAGTGGTTAATAAAAATCAGTTTATTGACTTCCGTAGAAAATACTATTTTTATCGTAACCGAGGAACAACGACGTGAACGTAGTAGTTTTCTGTTCCCTTCGGGTTGCTTGTTTTCAGTGAGTCCCCTTGCCTCTCACTATTTAGTGTGCGTGTTTTCAAAGAGTCCCCGCGCCGTATCAAAGCGCATGCAAGCGATGCATTCCCTATTATTTCCGTTCGGGCACAATGTAATTGCGCGAATGTCACAGTGGCCCACGATCACTCGCTTGGCAGCTAGAGAGAGTCCTTACTCTATAAACACTGTTTTCGGTTGCGTCGGTCACTCCAATACGTGGAAGTCTTCGTAGCACCGCTTGTCAAGCGGAGCAAGAAAGATGCGAGCTGCCACACGCCTCTGGAGAACAGTCGAAGACATTTTCCATACGTACCACTGGGCTAAGGACAGAACGCGCGGTTATTTTTTCGATTCATTTTAGAGATTTCTATTTTTTGTGTTTCTCACTTAATTTTTCCTGCTATTTTACCATTTTATTATTTTATTTTACTATTACCATTTTCTTTGGGCTTCTTTTCTGGGAGGGGAGATATGACCCCCCTCGATCCGACGTGACAACTCAACGTCCAACAACTTGAATTACGCATCTGAATTTGATTTGATAAAAAAAAATTACGTAATTTTTCTTTGATTATAGGGCATTTTAAAAACATTTAAAGAGTATTTTCTTGATTGAGGATGTTTTATGTCATCAAAATCCACCCCTTAGTTATTAAGCTGCGGATTTTTACCTATTTTCCTTTTTTTTTCTTCTTTTTTATTCTTCAAAAGAGAACGCAATATTTTAGCCTTCTTATTCATTTTCAGACATTTATATGCGACTGTTGTATGCGAATTTTTTAGTTCCCATAAATGCCTATTTCACTAATATAGGCTAAACTCAGCTCGTGCAGCGATACATTTTTATTCGTTTTAATGATTATCCGAAAATATTTTTGCGGAATAGAAAGAAACTTATGTAATGCTGCGCGAAAAAACGGCGAATTTTCGATATAAAAATTCTTACTACAGGACCATGGTAACCAAAGAGCGGATAAATTCAGTTGCTTAATTTAGAAAAAAAAACAAAAAAAAACGTAGTCTAGCCATAATCTGTTTGTCTGTGGGTCATTGAAACCGAAAAATCGAGTGACGACGAAACGTCTGTCTGTCTGTCTGTGAACAACGCTAGCGGCTGAACCGTTCAACCGAGTTTCTCCTGGAATTTGAAACCAATATTTTAATTTTGGGGGTACTTTACATGAATTCCCTGAGGCATTTTTATTTTTTTTTAAAGGCTTCATCGTTTTTTAATTTTTTGTTAGATAGTGTAAAGGACGTTTAAGAGAATGTTGCAGGTGTCATATTCGTTCAAAAAATTAACTTTTGAAAATTGCAAAAGTTCAAATTGTTTTCAGAGTCTTCCTACAATAAAATATTAAAGATATAATATTTTCCCTTAATGATATCTGTTCTGCAGAAAATCGATTTCAAGGCTTCAATGGATATACTATGTATGAAGTTCCCTTGATTCTCCCCAAAAAAAAGTTTTTTAATTTTTCTTTTTTAAACCTCTGTTTTGTCTGTGAACACTAGCGCATAAACTATCTGTAGGATTTTTTTTTCCAAACTGAACATGTCCCGGTCAATCTAGCCTCACTCGAAGCTCTGCAATTGTGATAGACTTCTTTTTTTTTTTACTTGAAACCTTTAGGACATTTAAAAACTTTTCAAAAAAGACTCCAAATTTTTTCTTTACATTTCTAGTAAGAATAGAGTGAAATATACTTACAAAGGTGGTGTACGTCTGAATTTCACAGTTAACTCTGAATTTTGGAAATTTTTTTAATTTTTTCAACATCGTCATACAACTACAAAATTGAAAATAGAGATTTTTCCTTGGAATGAAATTTGTTCTTCATAATTAGTACTTTCAATAACATCGTGTACATATTTTTGGAAATTTTATTATTTTTGTCCAATATTGAGCTATGCAATATTAAAAATAAAAACCAGAACGTTTCAAATACAGCTTCAATTTCTTTCTTTAAACTTTTGGAAGGGATAGTGTTGAATGGAGTGTTTAAGATGGCATAAACGCCATATTTCTGTATTCGTTTGCTGTTGTTGTTTTTTCAAAAAATAAAAAAATGCAATTTTTTGGGGTTCTCTCAATCGCTAATATTTACAGTGACAGCTATTTGTTCTCATTATTGCATTTATGAGTACATGTGCTTTGAATGGTGATTTATAACGTCTCTCAAAAACTCATAAGTATTCTGTGAAAATGAGCTCACATTTCCGTATTTTCAGATTTTTTTCTTTTACCTTAACAGATAGTGTTAATTACACTGTCTAAGATGTCACAAAAATAATTTTCTTATATTCTTTTGGTTTTTCAAAAATTATACAAATGTAATTTTTTTTAAATGTCTCACACCGTTAATCAGCACATTTTCAGCGATTAGAATACATGATTGCATTTTGGTTCCTTCTATTATTCTTTAAAATTCTTAATGATATATTTCGGTTCTTGTATTATATTTTGTATTTTTTAGTAAAAAAACGTACTTTGGATGGCTATTGATGCTGGCAAGACTCAAAATCTAGCCCAGGCCAAAGAAATGAGAAAACTAATTCCTGAAAGTTTGTACTATTCTCTTGCACCATTAGTTTTTAGATGCAAATGAATCAATGTAAGAAGTAATCTCTGTGGAAAACAGTGTAAGCTATTATGGTCTTATTTCTTAAAATATATAACTATTATTCAGATAGTGATTTTCATATTTCTTTGTTTCTAAACTTGTTTAGGAAAATGATATCCAATGAAAAGTATTTTAATTGATTGGCACTATTTATGTATATGGATATTAAAAATTAAGATCACGTTCTATTGAAATTATGATATTATATGTAGTAGCAAGTATTTTTGTCTCCACAAGTGACTCTGTCCTTCCTTTCACGAGATCTGGCACTGTCAGTCCTAATTATCTTTTCCATTGCAATTATCCAAGATTAAACTTATTGGCCAAAAACAAACAAGGAAAAAGAGATTTTCAAATACATTATGAACCAATTCTTCTTGTGAAGTAGCAAGGTCTTTCTGAAATTAAGATCACAAAAGTGGGAGAAAAAAAATCAATTTTTAGTGTTTTCTTCTCAAACCTGAACTCTTGGTTTAACTCTAACTGTGAATAAATGAGGAGTAGGAAAAACCTTAACCATAACCAGTTACATTTCTCATATTAAACTATATTTCTGCACAAGTCTTTTAACATGAATTACATTGATACAAATTCAGCTGTTACCTGAAGAAGTCAACAATAATTCTCCTCTCTCAACCTTTTTAACTGCTAAACTTTTCAAGACTATTGTTTTTGTCAGCAAATAATCAGTTACAAGACACATGTTTAAACTTGGTACATTGCATGTTTGTACAAAATAAAATTTAATTACTTTGAGTTTTCAAATCATAACCTTCAACTAGCATACTATAAAATTCAATGTATTAACAATATCAATGCTATTAACAATACAAGAAATCAATAATCATTATAGAGGTTCAGTTATGATATTTTACCCTGATCACATCAAGAGGAAATAATTTAAGTTGTACACCACCATTCAACTGCAATTGCTTGAGCAATTACATCCATAATGTACCAAAAAAACTTGTGGGAATGATTACCCGAATTATCAATTTGATATTTTCCTAAATGGAAATTAAAAGTCAGCCTACCATCACTATTAAAAGGGTAAGAGAATCAGCAAACTTATCAAATTTTTCATTCAAGTCAGAACCTGCAGGTACAATACTCAACGTAACTTATTGGCTATGGAAAATTAGTTTTAATTTTTTTACAAATTTCATTACAAGCTCGTCAAATTAGTACTTGCCCACATCTTAAACTAACTTATAATTATTACCTCATTGATGTCAATTTTAGAGTCAACATCCATAATTTCCAGCTAATAACCACCAAATTGACTTTTAAAAGTATTTGTCTCAATACCTAATTCAGTATAGACAAACACCAATAAATATATGCTAAATATGTTTCCAATATAAAAATATATGAAATATATTAAAGAACTAATTCACAAGATTAGCAGTAATTCCTAATTCAGAAATTAAAAAAATATGAGAAGTAATTAAAATGTTTCTTTAAATTGTAATATTTAAAAAAAAAAAAATTATACTGTGTGATTATATGTATATCATTATTAACTGGATTATTTAGTAATGACAGCCAACTTAGTGAAGTGACACTGGCTGTATTAAACCCAAGAATGAATAATAATTTTATTTTTGAGAATGAAATATTATGAAGCAGCAAACAAACTTGGTAAACAAAATAATACATCAAGTTCTATCCAAATAAAACTTTTCAATAAAAATACTAAGAATATACAAAGTTACTTTTCAATAATAAAAACATTCCATCACAGTTTTCTTCAGTCGTTCAAACAGATCACAGTTTACAGCAAATGAAAAGATGCAAGGGAGATGAATTCCGATTTATCATAAATCAAAGATAGGTAGTTTCTGTATTTTCGTTATTCATATGGGCAGATGTATACAACACAAAATGATAAATTGGCTTAGAAACATTTCAATTACATTATACTCATAAATTTTTAACTTTTGTGTTTTTAAAGAGTATTACAGAAACTCGGCGTACTATATTAAGCATTGTACGGATATTTTCTACTCTTTCTTCTAATAATGAGGAATGTAAGTCAGAATAGAAAACACAAACTTAAAAAAACTCTAACAGAAGTCAACATGAAATTACATAATTTAATTTTACATTAACATTGTGACTTCACTATCAGTAACAGGATCATATTCACCACACAAATACTACAAATACACAAATGCCAAATTCATGTTACATGGGCCATGCCAACAGTTTTGCAATTGCAATTTTGCTTTCAATTGCCACTGGTACACATTAGGAGACAATACTACTCACAATCCTTGACAGAATTCAAATTATTTCTAAAGTTTTAATGCTATGGAAATTATTTAAATGAAACTGATTGTATTTAATAGTTTTATCCACTGACATAATCAATACAGAACATATGTACCTGCTACAAAAGAAACACGACTTACTTAAAACATAGTTTGCACTAAATATGCTGAACATTCAGAACGTATAAATACTTTTGCATAAGTACAAATAAATCCATTACGGAGTTTAAATTGAAAATCATAAGGACACAGAAAAGTTTATAATTATGCCTTAGGTTTCACTCAACAGTATCATTTCACATAATACAACCATCTGAAGAACAATACACATACACACCAATGGTTATAGACATTGCATAAAGCACATATATACTCCGACAAGCACAGAGAAAGTAAGCAAACTTAAAACGCTAATAATGATTGGACAGCAATGAAAAACAAAAGAGGGGAAAAATTGAGCAGAAACCTTATAAAAAGAAATATAAACAACTGTAACACAATAAATTTCTTCAGAACATATCATAATGAGATCTTTACCCTTGATTGGTTGCTAACTTGGAAATTTTAAAATACAAAGTAAGCGAACAAAGTGTACATATTTCAAGAGCAATTTGTCACACCTTTTTAATTTTTTTCAATAAAATGAATTATTCCAATTGTTTCATTATAGTACATCAAGACATTTTAAAATTGTTTTTTCAGCATTTTATTTTTTGACAGGAAAAGTTCCATCTATTGGTTCAGTTCATGGAATTGGGTCATAGGTATTATTACACAATACACAATTATTAACATAGGTTATTCTGATACATCTTAATGATTTGTGTCCATTACAACGTTCTAAAACATCAAGAAATATTTACATGAAGATTTGGAATCTTTGAATAAAACGGTAGATATAGGACCACAAACAGTTAAAGCAAAATTTGTGCACATCTTTGTACATAGATCATGACAAGATAATTATCTGTTTGTATCAGAGACACTATCCCTAACTATGTAATTTCTTAAGAAAAGGGGATGAAGTCATATACTATTGATGTTGAATAAACATCCTAAAATAAAGATATGCTAAAGCAGAGGTTATCAATGAAGAACAGCATTTCTTGATGATCCTTCACTGAAATAAGGTTTTTGCAGTTTTACAAGAAAATACCTTAAGTTAAGGTAAGGAGTGTCTCAAAGATAGTATGGATTCTGACCTACTCCATTTCAAAGGAAGTCAGGTACTGCTTTCCAAAAGATCTGGAATATAATTATCAATTTTCATTAACATATACAACTCAGAACCATTCATGAAGGTACCTAACAAAAAATCAATTTTAAAAAAGTTTCAGAATATCATCCCCTTTATCTTTAATACATAAGTTTCACTGTGTAGGAGTGAAATTCATAAAGGAAAATGTGGAAGACAAATTATTTGCTAAAAATCAACTGTTGAATTATCGAACTTCAATTATTTTTACTACTGATAGAACATAACGTCATGCCATTCAAATGATTCTTCATTCTTTGGTGAACCAAAATTTCCTTTACACACATATTGGTGGATTTGGTTGGGTTACAGTTATGTTAGGCCTCAATAAACGGGCCAAAACATTGATAATGATTCTTCTTATGAAGCTGAGGTCACATCAGGCCTCCCAACTACTCGAACCTATCTATTTGCTTTTTATAATTATAACAGATCCTGTGGATTTATTTCACAAATTTTTCTCTTAATTCGATCCACATCCCTTAATTTTACCTGACCTTTGTCAACGTGAATTCTCTAAATAACTTGCCTAAAATAAATTGAATATTACCACCACTCAGAAAATGTTTTAAAATGTTTATATACTCTGGCAAGATCACTTGCAGAAAATGGAATTTGAAGAAATTATGTTATAACAAAATTCAGTTAGAGGATATATTCATTTCATATTTCAAAACCTCCTTTCACTCCCTTTGGAACAGTAACATTAGAAAAAAGTAATCTAAGGAATGCACAGGACACTAAAACCAAAAATGTGTTGTATTACCATTGTTTTATAAATAACGTTTTAAAAACTGATATTAAAACTTCATGAAAATTCATTTTTACATCAGCAGAAATGAAACAATATTTTTAGGACAGAAATATCCCAAATTTATGAAGCGAGTAATAACTTAGCACATTTTCAATACAATTTATTGAGAAAGAAAATCAATTTATTTGAAGAATCTTCATCTAGTTATGACTATTTCAAAAGCAAAATTTGTCTGTTGCACATTAATCCTGAATATAGTTTCTGTTCTTATCTTCTTACATTTTCAGGTAATTTCAAGAAGCTTGATTTGCATTCTAGTAGCCCATTTCTATAGAAAACATGTTTAATATATATCGCAAACATCATTTTCTACAATGAAGCTAAATTCCCATGAACTTTTGTTTTCTTCACTCTGATTCCACTCAATACTAAGCAGAAGCAAGCTCTGGAAGTCACACACTAATGTAATACTAAGAGAAGAAAACAAGCTGCAAGAAAACAGCTTTCGAGGATTTTATTGATCATTTGTTTGAGGTCATAGAACAGTAACTTTGAATTACTTGTGACTTTCAAGAAAGTATTTCACTTCCCCTACTTTCACATCTTCACAACGTATGTTTGTTAAATTTTTAACTCCAACATTGTCAAACATTTTTCTAGTGGATACTAATAACAGGAAATGTACAAATCTTAGTCAATAATTCATAGTGTCATTATCCTTTCTTTTGAAGATTCTTTCAATTTGATTCAACAATGCTTAAACCATTTCTGCAACTCAATATCATTGTATGGGTGTTTCAACCTCTTGCTGTATCTTCTGCTAAACGACCACAAGACAACTTTTTAGCACAGCATTTAAATCATAAATTAAAACTAAGAATCTGAGAAATATATCACAGTTGACAATGATCTTATCCTTTAACCATACCTATTTGGCCAACTTGAAACGTATCATTACAGAGCCTCCTATTCGTACAATGTTCATACAATTTAGTTAAAAAATATTTAATGTTTAGTAACTGCTCTAGACACACTTTCACATGCTGTATCATTTCAGATTTTGTTTTCACATTCGTAATGTTGAAATTCATAAATGAAAGATTAATCACAATACATCTATACATTTGATGTATGTAGAAAATAAACATGAACCGACGTTTGTTTCCGAAACACCATTTTTCTTGAATAAAGCCAAACTAAATTTTACAAGAATCATTTTATATGAAATGATTTATAAAATAAATTTATTAACAAATAAGTTTTTATTTAAATTGCCTCTATATAAAATAGCAACATTGGCATACATGGCCACTGCATGGTTCTGTACAGTATAAAGTTTAAAATTTATTTATAAATAAAAACAAACAAACATAAATTAAAATATTAATATTGTTTACAAAATGTACAAGAATGAATATGAAAGTGAACTAATCTCAATGTACACAATGGTTTGTGAAATTGCTTTCATTGTTTAAAGATGTCAGTGATTCTACAACCATATTCACTCAATGCTGGAATTGAATAATAACCATTGATCTGTGATACAAGATTGATAATAGATTTATCTATTTGTAATTCTAACAAACAACAAATTAAAGTGTTATAGAACAATCCAGTTGTTAGTTCAGCCTTCCAACATCAGTACAATATAATTTTCCAAGTAATATCTCTGAATATATTTTTCTGCATTTATAATAAAAAGATTCCATGAATATTTCATTTTTATCAATCACTATTTTTCATTTGCTAAGTTTATAAGAATTTCAAATACTTCAAGGTACAATCATGGAATGTGACATTCAATAAAATACATGACTTTTATGCCAAGAAACATGAAGGTATTATGAACAAGGACCAAACAAAAAAGGTTTTGTTTTAGTGGAACAGGAGTTCATCACAGAAATACATACATTTTAATGTTTCACATTTGCCTAGGATGAAGAACCACTGACTTAAATTAATGTTACATACTTAATTAGAGTTATCCACATAACTCTGAATTTAACTTCAAATTTTGAAGTTCAGGCAGTATATTCATTAATGATCCAAAAACAATAACAAAACTTACTTAAATGAACATTGATTTCATATAAAACAGAAGATGAACACTACTAACAGCATTTCCTCCAATAATACACAGTGTTTACAACAGAATATATGTTTATATATTCTTATATGCAAATACTCACATACATATACACACACACACACTTTTAGGAATACAATAACATGCTTTTACAATAATCACTGGCAACCATCAAAATACATCTGGAACTATTCCAATGCCGTAGTTCCTTTGTCCTATACAATTTCGTTCCAACCATTGAAAATTGTGATTCACAATGCAATACAATTCAAAAGCACATTCAATATCAAGAAAAGAACAAGATCTATTTTGTAATCAATGAATAGTCACATTCACAACAAATAACAAGGAATCTCCACAACATTGAATGATCATGAAATGAATGTTTCCAGGTTTTACAATGTATTTTTAAAAAAGCTTGGAATCTACTGAGAATTTTTCAAATCAGGATCATTCTTTCAAATGAAAATATTTAAAAATATTAAACTTTCCTTTTCTTGCAATACAAAAGAAAATGAGCAATAAAGAACATCATTTACATCTCTCCTCAGCAACCAACAGCTGTCACTTATACTTCATCATAAAATAAATGCTATAAATGCATTTTTCAGAAAACGCATTCCAAAACACATCATTCTTAGGTTCAGACAAAACAGTCAAGAGAATAATTATCAGATACATTCTTTCAAATGCCATTCATAACTAGCCAAATGTACAACAAGAATTAGTTTTGCGGGCTGTTTTATAAAAGGCTTTTGACTGAACACTGAGTCCTTCTGACTTAGCCACTAAATCATCTAGTTTCTCTCCTCTTTCTAGAACTGCTTCAATAGTATTGTGCTAAAAAAATCAAAATTTGATTATTAAGTTAGTTATCTAATATTACAGCAAAACGTATATTCAGTCTCTTTTGATGGATACTTACCAAAATTATTTTAGTTTCATCAAGCTCATCTTGAATTTTGGTCATTGCATCAGCTTCCCTTGGATTTTGATACTTAGCAAGATATACATTCAATTGTGGAAAGTCAATAGAGCTTTCCGAACCTGATGGCCAAGATGAAGCCGGAATTTTTGTAGCAAATTCATCAAGAACCTGAGTTACAAGCAAAAATACAATCATACAAAACAGGACTTACAAAAAGAGACTGTCATTTAAAAATGAAGGCATCATACCTTAGTTATCAATGTGTGAGCCACTCTTGGGGGATACTCATAATCAGATATCAGCACACCACCTAAACTATCAGCTCGAACATATACATGACACATGTATTCTGTAAAATAGTAATAAGTTATGTCAATTGAAAGGATTCAAAAAGAACATAAAATTAAGAAAGCAAATGACGTACCTCCTTCTTTTACAGACTGCCTGGCTGGTGCATGCGTTCTTTCAACAATAGTTTTGCTTACAAAAGCCATAAATTCTTGCACACTTCCTCTTTGAAAATAGTTGAATGATGTTAAATCATAGGAGCATTTCAGCCAAACAGCATTGTTTGGTCCTTTATACAGAATGTTCAAAGCGTACAATTTCATTTTTCAAGACAATCCTGAAACTGAAATCACCACTCCATGAATCTGTCCATCTCACCGTGTTTCTTTCTAACACTTGCAACTTACCTCGGGATTAAATAATTTGATTACAAAAATATATTTTAGATTATTTTCAATTTCAATTAATAAAATACGCTCATAACAAATTAATGACTTGGCATTCACCCTCACTTGCTTTGACCCTAATCTCCCAATCTCATCACCCCATGAACGAGAATCATGGGATGTACGTGGTTGTACGACGTTCACAGTTGCAGACTCGAAGCGGGAAGAACGAATCATTGCACTGATCCCGATCAACCGGAAATCAGCAATGAAGAAAATGGATGGAAAATCAAGTTTAAAACGAAAATTTTAGGCCTCTGTGTAACATTACATTAATTTACACATTCGTCATTTCGATATTATGGTCGCATAATCGTTTTCTAAAGTCTGACCTCTTAAGACCTTCATTAGAGCAATTACGAAAACCAAGTCACATAATTTTTTAAAGTGACTTCAACACTTCTTGGCACGCACGTTTCATGTAAGTTGTAAACGTTTTTCTTGTTATGTGACTCGAGGTATTAATTATCAGTTATTTACAAATAACAAAAAATGAAACGCGTATTCAAAAATATATAAGTAAGTAACCCGTGGAAGAGCCAAATAATAAAGTACAGAACGTTTTTTAAATACATTGGACACACACTTGGTAATGTATTAATGAGTTTTTCCCACAGAGCAAAACAAACTTGACCAAATTGTCAATAAGGTCTAAATTAATACTTTTTGCATTGTCATTCTCAATCTACAGTATATCTAGATTATTCGAATGTTCTTGACCAATCTGAGATCGTAAATAATGTTTTATTAATTTCATTTTTCTGAAAGATCTTTCACAGCTGGCAGTGCCTGTATTGGGATAACTGGTTACTAAGCCATCTTCTTCATGGAAATTAAGAAGTGAAATGCTATCCATATTTTTTAAATCAGTAATTATAATTTTATTTGGTGTTTGTAGCTTTCAGTCTCTAAACACAACTCATTGGCATATAAATCATAGTTATATTTTAATGCGAGATCAGCTGCGGATTTCTATAGATCTTCAGTGAAGGTTTCGTGTAATTAAATATTGAAAGGAAACTAAAATCAGAAGCTTCGGCAGCTAAACTTTGAAATGTCCATCCCATTTGTTGAATAAGTGTGTCTAGTGCACAGAAAAGCTGAATTTTAAGCTTTTGAAGCGGAGAAGGAAAAACATGGCCTTGTTTGAAGATCTGTTTTTGATGAACACATTTCATTAAGAAAAAAATTATCATCAGAATTATAGTTGTAGGAAGACTCAGAATTCTATTTAGTTTTTGAATTTTTGAAAAATCAGGGATTTCAGCGAACATGACACCTGCATATATATATATATATATATATATATATATATATATATATATATACGGAAAAGTAAAAAGCGACAAAGGAAAAATAGAATTAATATTGGCATTTTCAATTGGAAATAATAACAAGAATTAAATTACATATTTTTCATTTCATTCATTCAATTTTTCTAGTGGCCCGTAGTTGGTGTGACACCTGTTTATTTTTCATTAATTTCAAGCAGAAATTACGCAAAATACTTACACAGAAATTACCCGATTTTACAAAAAATTGTACATGTCCTTTTTTAAAGAACTAACTACAAAAGACTTTGTATAAGGCAAAAATCTCTATCTTTAATTTTGTAGTTTAAAGTTTTTTTTTCATTTTCAAAAAAAACGAGCAATATTCGAAATTGAAACTACCGCCATTTTTTCTTGTCTCTTATTACACAAGTGAAGAAAATTTTTAAAAAATGGACCATTTTTAAAAAATTTTTTTTATAGATTTCAATCGCAAAATAGGAAAAAACTACCCCTTTTTCAAAAATTGTACGTAATATTTTTTGAAGAGCTAGTTATGTACAACAGACTTTGTCTGAGACAATCTCCAATTTTGAAGTTTTAAATTGTTTTTTCCAATTTTCGAAAAATCGGGGATGTCAACAAAACTGAGACCTACACCAGTCTCTTAAACGTTCTTTGCACTATTCAACAACAAAATTTCATCAAAACATTTGGACCCATTTTTTGAAAAATTTCAATTTGTCCCAGGGACACAGGAACAGGTAATGTACCCCACAAAATGAAAAAAAAATCGGTTTCAAATTCCACGGTCTGCGACATCAGCTAAAATGATTGGGGAATATCAATTTTGGAGAAAAACGGCTGGTAGGTTTATGCCCTAGCATTGTGGAGAATCATTTTCTTCAAAAATTAGGGGACAAAAATATGGAAGTGTTAAGCAAATTTGGGGAAGAATAAAATGTAGTTGTAGAAGATTTTGCGGCACAATTTTGGGATTTAATTGAGAATGATCTTATTAAAGAATAACGCTGAATAGCAGCAGAGGTGATTTTTTACATGCATTTTTGTGCATATTAGCAAAAAACGTAAGCATCTAGCTGTACTAAATACTAAATTCATACCATTCAGCATCACTCGTACCTGCAAGTATTTTTACGGCGTTTATAATTTTGAAATTGCAATATTACTAGTTTATATTCCTTATGGAGGTAACAAACAATACCATTGGGGGATGGAAATTTTTGAACAGGAGTAAAACATTATTACTTACTTACTACGATTCATTCGTATGTCTAATGCTAGAGACTGTAAAAACGTCTTCGAACAAAGCTATGGAAGAGATAAATTTTCAACAGATAAAAATGCTTTTAAAACAGTTTACAGCGTCGGCGACGCCACATTTAACTATCTCTACATGAGAAACTGCGAGTATGCGTGTATGCGAATCGGTCACTCACATTTAGACCACTTCCCATGCACCAATCGAGACATATGAGGTGTCATTCGACGCGCCTCCGTCTCCTCGTGGGGACCTGATAACTTCTTTTCGGGTCCGGCCAGAAGATTGTAAGAAATTTCCAAAACCGTGGTCTGTAGTGGCAAACTTATTAAATTTGAAGAACTTTAAGTGCATACGGTGAAAACGAAACTGTGAGTACTGCTACAAAATGAAAGCACATTTAACTTATTACGTTCGACTTTTTACAGTTATGTTCTTAAACGTGCAAATACCGATTTTCAAATGAATGTGATTAACAACTTGTTATTAAATTAATACCTTGTTCACCTAAACATACAAAAAAGTAGTTTTTTTAAAAAAAGTTTATTCTCCTACAAAAGGATTAATAAAGAACTTGCAGAAGTAAAGGTTAATACAAATTAGACTAAGTTGGTGGAGTTTTAATCTTTTCAAATATTAGGGGACAAAAATATGTGGAAGTGGAAAGCAAATTCGGGGTAGAATCAAATATACTTGTGGATTTTGGGACAGAATTTTCGGAACTAATTGAAAACGTTCTTATGAGAGATAAACGCTGAAGAACATCTTTCAGGTAATATTTTAAGTGCGTTTTTGTGTATATTAGCTAAAAAGCGTACCAAATGGGAGCTGAACTAAATTCTAACTATCCGCACCAATCATACCTGCCATACTCTTAAATTCAATGTAAAAGGTCTGAAAGCAGATTTAATGGCTTTGTACGATATTGTTTAAAATTACAAGGAACATACGTATATTATGATTTTTTCATTAAAAATTTCCTAGCGTTTTTAATATTTCGAATGCTGAAAAATAGATGCTTCTCACGAAACAACGTTTCCTGGGTACGCGCTACCATAAAAATCATGTGTTTTCCAGCATTACGTATATATCTATGGAAGCGAAGTCGGGAACGGAAAACTTTAGATCATTATCCTTGAAAAATGATTTTTTAACGGATCTTCAAAAGAAGAAATTTTTCAACGCTGCGAAACGTACGGATTTAAAAAAGGCATCGATTGACTAACATTTCTGTGATCCGATCTAGCGTGAACATACAGTGTGTTAGAGACCAAAACTGCCCGTTTACAATTTTCGAAAACGTGAGAAAATGAAAATATATGAATGACGTTGAGTAAAACTCTTTAATATATTGTATTTTGTGAGTATGATTTTCCATTACCATGTAAGAATGTAACGAATGAATGATATTCGTTTTATGACAAGTGTACACTGAGAAAATAGCGAACCTGTTTTTTTCCACTGAACATTTTCTGTTATATTCAATCTTATTGTAGTAATCTCACTTTTCTGTTATTATAAATGCAAATCTGTTGTTTTAATCATAATGTCTCTACCATTATCAAACAAGTATCATCATTATGGTTTTGGACAACAGAATAATTTTCATTACAAATGTATAATAT